AGAAGGAATTCCAGCTAGCTTCCCTTGCTGCCCAACAGTCCGGCAACTCCCGCATGCTGCCCAAGTTATTTCCAACAGTGCAGTTTGCTGTCCAGGGAACATCTGCACCTGTATCTTGCTGTCCAGTCAAGTGAAAGGTCTTCAAACGCTGCCCGGACATTTCAAATTGTTAACCACGCTTTCAAGAAGGTTCATGGATGCCACCTACTTCCTTCCAAGCCTCCCTATAGCATCCGGAACTTCGTATTTTCCGATTATTTGGGTAAACTCTCCTCCAAATCTTTAATCTCTTAATCGCTACTCAATTGTGGTTTATAAGTGATTCATGAAGGTTCATGTCATTCTCTCCGCTAATGCCTAGAAGTTGAAAGAGTTGAGTGATGGGCGTCTCTTAGTGACTAAACTCATTGTTAGTTTAGGGATTATCGTTGAACACCTCTCATGTATGAAACATTAGATTAACTTGATTGTTTTCTGATCTCCACTTTTACGCGTGTGATTCAGCCTAAGCTTTTATTTTACCGCTCTTTGGTTTTACTTAGCCGTTTGAAATCACTTTAAATATTTAATTATTGTGCTCTAAATATTAAGCGTGCAAACTCCTTAATTCACTCATCCTTGCCTGTACGTTTCACATTAGTTTCTTAAATCATGTTTAATTATTTAGAAAGATTTTTTAAATTATGTTTATGTTGATTAGGAGGGTTCCACATATTTAGAAAGGTTTTCTAAATTATGTTTATATTAATTAGGAAGGTTCTAATTGTGTTATTGTGTTCTACGACTATTTAAGGGGGAGTTGTCTAGGGTTTTAGGTTCATGTTATTGATGATTTTTGTAGGTGTCTACTATAGTTGAAATCCTTTCAACTTATTAGAAAAGGGATTATCTTGAAATAAATAGATTCAAATATAAAATTGCTAGAAAAAAGTTTATGCACTCTTATATTGCTTCTTTCATTCAAATTCCTAGCATCCAAATGAAGCTTCTAGAGAAATAACTAATGAATCTACCCTCATATTAAGGAAAAAAAAGGTAATCGGAACCATGGTTTAAAATTGCGCAACAAGAGGCGCGCCTCAGCGCGTTTCTGCCCTTTAACGCAAAGAGGCGGCCGCTTCATAAGTGTTCCGCGAGGTGTATGCCTCAATCCAACAGAGGCGCGCACGCCTCGCCTCACTTCAGAGAGGCGTTCGCCTCTAAAAAAAGACATTTAAAACCTAAACTTAATATCAGTGTTTTTATTCATTCATTTCGTTCTTCCACTTCGATTTCTTGCGTTCATGCCCTTTGACTTCGGTTGGATTCGACCTCTTCGACTTCGCCTAGAGCTTTAAAAGTTCGCCAAAAAGGTTTGTTTCCTTACTCGACGACATTCTAAAAGCTTCGTTTGTTGCCTTCTTCGAATGATCACAGGTGGAGTCAGCCTCTTCGAATGTGCTCTTCGACTTCCTTGCATGCATTCGTCCTCTTCGACCTCGCCGCACGACAGGTAGGGATTTGAATGTTCTTCAAAAGCTTCCTTGCATTATTCGACCACTTTCTGAAAGCTTCGTTGCCTTCTTCGAATGTTCGCAGGTGGAGTCGACCTTCTTATTCGAACATGAACTTCGGCTGCATTCGGTCTCTTGCATGCATTAGGCTATTACTTGAACCCTCAGTAATAATATGTACAGAATAAGTCTACAAATCCTGAGATAAAGTTGAGATTGTACCATTGTATGGATCGATTGATAGGTGACACAACTGAAAGATCAAATGCTGAAATGCAATTGATTCCTTAATAAAGAAGTTTTTTTTGGATTACAACAGGGTAAGGATACTTTTTCTACACGATCTCTACGTAAATTCATTTTTATTTGTTTTTTTAATCATTTATTTAAAAGTTGTTCTTTGAGCACTGACTATGCTCATTTATGTAAATCTTAGTTGAGTAGTGGATTCAGTTTGGTGATGACACTCCAAAATTGCAGCTTTTTGCTATGAAAATTTTGGGATTAACATGTTCTTCATCTGGCTGTGAACAGAATTGGAGTTTCTACAACCAAGTGCGTACAAAAAGAAAAAATCGTTTGTCAATATTGAAGACGAATTCACTAGTGTACATTATGTACAATAGGAGACTCAAACAAGAACTTGAAGAAAAAAGGGTTAAAGGATAACGAAGATCCTTTGTTTTTGTGAGCATATCACATATGATGATGAGTGATTTGTAGATGATGACGTGGAAGTGATGCTGTCTGAATTATGAGAGGAAGTGTAAATGTTGATTTCTTTGATGGTCATAGAACATCTACATCCACCACAACTCAAAACAAATAAAAAATGGTATATAAATAACATAGTTTTTTTAAACTTTACTTTTATTCATGTATTACTCATCTTGATATTGTTCAAAAATATTTAGGGAAGAGGAAGATAACTGATATTGAGGAAGAAGGAGCTGATTGAGAGACATTGGACTGATATTAAGGAGAGGAGGAAAGAGAGAGGCAATTCATCATAATGATGATTCAAATGAAAACTCCCTTAGTGATGCCAGTGCTGATGACTTCTAAGTTGTTATGTCATTGCTATTTATTTTTTGAATTACATGTTAATGAAAAGGATATTGTGATTTGGAAAAGATAGAATTTTGAGTTGAACTGTTTTTTATGTTGTTTTATTATTGTGTTGTTTGGATTTCACTTTAATTTCAAACAACGTTTTACTTGACACTTTTTATCTTGTGCTTTTTTATGTTTTATATTATTAGATTACTCATTAGTATATAAAATTTATTATTTTATCTTTATGCAATTTTTTGATTTTGAGGCTTACGCCTCACCTCACTAAAGAAAAATGCTTCAATACCCGATTACACAATTTTAAAACTTGTTTGGAATTTGGAACAAAGAGGCTAGAGCTAAATTGTTTAAGCATGAAAGCCCGAAGATTTTTGTGCCAAAGAGAAAGCCGGAGAATTAAGGGATCACAAAAGAAAGATTTTCAAACTGGCTGATATGTTCTCCATGAGGTAGTTGATGACTGCATGATAGATCAAGAGACAAAAAATAGCTGGTTTTCATTGGTAATTGATGAACAAATTGACAGCTTATTTGAATATTTAGAGGCATAGTTTTAAAATGGATTGATAGTGATGCTTAGAGCACTATGATTAAGAGAGAGCTACCATAGTTGGTTTGGGCGGGGTGTGTTTGTTAGGGAAGTTTATGACCATAATGACAACTTATTTCCATTGTTCATAGACCATAGGTGACAGATTGGACTGATGGTAACATCTATAGCATTTGTGATTATGAGAGAGATAGCATATGAGCATTTCCCATGAAACTTGATTATCTTATAGATCCAAAAGTCTGTAACCATAATTTATTGTATAAAAGTACTTGATTTTCTTATAGATCCAAAAGTCTGTAACCATAATTTATTGTATAAAAATAATATTTATTTTTTATCACAATATGCGCTGCAAAGTGGAGGAATATGTACCAAAGATACAAACTGACAAGGTGGGAGAATGAGACTCATGATCCGATATAAAATGGATTTGGGATGTAATCTAATCAAATAGTGATAGGTTGGGTCCAAAGCCTTGCTTGCGTTCTCCATATGTATAAGGGACATTCAAGAGATGTTGAGAAATTTTCTTGGAAAATAACAAGTGACACGCCTAATGTTGAACTTTCTGCCTAGTTTTGTTCTTGTGTTCAAATGCTCTGCTTCACAGCTTTCAAGCCATTGCAGTTTATTTTCCCATTAAATTCCAATATAATATTTTCTTTTTATCCCTAAATATGCATATATGCATTTTCCTCCTAGAAATTTCTTGATTTACTGCACACTTGTCTAAAAGGTACCTATTAGCACTTGCATGGTACTGCAGACATGCTTATGTTCAATATCTAAATTCTATTTGTTGCTCCTGATATGTATCTTGAATCCAGGCAAATGACAAAACAGGTGGTTATGTTAATAAACTGGTTGTTACTTGCCTTAGGAGTGGACTTAATCGTGCATTTCGAGTCCACCAAAAGCCAGAACGTGCTCCTATAAGAGCTCTGAAGGCTTCTTCGTCAGGAAGGTTGGCATTGGAGATGGGTGATTTGTGCTGCTTAGTCTTAATATTGCTATTTTTTTTTGGTTTTCCTTATTTGTCATATTTATTGATTTTACTTTTGGGTGGGTCTATTAAATGATGAATCAAAAGTCTCGTATTAAGAATGCGCATCTTATTCTTACAAGGTTTAAATTGCTTCTAATAATAAAACCAAAAGGATGAAAATCTCTTTCTTGTCAGGCAGCCCCAAAACCATTGATTGTTAATGGAAAAATTGTCATAAAAGAAAAGGAAAATTCTTAACAAAATTTCATATTATCATCATTAACTTTGGCATGATGAAAAATACGTTTTAAAGCCTTTTGTGTGGTTTAAATTCTTCATTAGATATTTAAAAGAATTGAATACAACTTGTGATTTTCTCCCTCAAATAATCAATCTTCCTCGAACTGTTTTTTCCATTGTTTAAAATCATTGATGTTACAACAAAAAAAAAGCATGAATATGCCTTGTATAATGCTGTTTATATGAATCTAATATGATTCAACTGAATTATTTAGTCTTTCTTTCTTATAAAGCATATCTGAAATTTCTCTGGCCTGTTTTGTGTTTTGGGACTTAAAACGTTTGACCTATTTTAAGGCTGTTAAGATAGATTTTTTTTTGTATTTAAAATCTTAAATGTCTTGTTTTAGATCACTTGATGCACAAAAAATCAAGTTGATTATTGTTGAAGTTTTCTTTACTGTTGTTTGTTTTTTGATTGATGAATTTATAAGTTCTTTATTTTGACCATCTATATCTTGTTATTCTTGGATTGGTTGACTCCTCTTAAATTTAATCTTTGATTTTGAGAGGATTGGTTAGGGGAGCTACGTGCGATGTAGGATGGTTTCTGACTAGGATTTATGGGGAGACTTGCGAGTTCTTTCCACCATTCTTCTCGGCTTCTAACCTCTTTCGTCTCTCCTCAAGTACCATCTCACATGTATCCTTCTTCTTTTGGAAAGCAAGTTTAGGGTGTCTTGTTTGAGTCAAGTTTGTAAGAGTCCTTGTTTGTAAGTCCTTTTATAATATTAAAGTTGTGTTTTGTTTTGTTAGTTATATTTTCTCAAGTTTGCTAGTTCTCCCCAAGAGATAGAAGAAGAAGTGGACAAAGCTCGCAAGCTTTTCCAAAAATCCTCAGGTTTCTTTCCAAAAATCACATAATATAACTTAAACAACCCAAAATATCTACTATATATAGAAATGAGAGGAGAATACAAACAGCCCCAAAAACCTTTCACATTCTAAGCAAATAAAAGCCACATAATTCTATGCTAAGAACAAAGCACTAAAGCTGGGTGGTTTCCTGTGCTGGGTGGTTTTCCCGTGCTTTTGCCTCTTTGGTTCCCGTAGCTGCTGCTCGGTTCTGCAGCTGGCTTCTTGGTTCTGCGGCTGATCGGTTATGTGGCTTTTTTGGTTGGTTCCTGTGGGTTTTCTTCTCTGTTTTGCTGTGCCATTTGGGGACTGAGGTTATGTGGCTGTTGGCCTTTCATTTCCCTAAATCTAATAGGTTTATTTACTGCTGTTTGGTGGTTGTTTGGGGGGGAATTCCATGGGATTTTTCATGTTTTCTGTGCAGTTTTCCTACAGCTGTTTGCAATCTTTTGGCCTTCTATATTCCTTGAATTTAATGGGTTTAATGGGAGATATTTGGGCTGTTTGGCTGCCCTCTTTGTGCCTATAAATAGGGGCTGATTTGTATGTTTAGAGTTGTGATGATGATGATTTTTGGGTCTAAAACCTGAGAGGTTTTTCTTCTTTGGAAAAGCTTGAGAGCTTTGTCCAACTTCTCTTCTTCTTCCTTCTAGGACAGCTTGCTAGCTTCTCTTTCTTTTCGTCTTGGCTTCTTACCTCCTTCTCTACGCAAGAATCCACCCCACTTGTATCCTTCTTCTCAATCCAAGAAAGCAAGTTTAGGAAAGTCGTTATGTCTTTATTTTGTCGTTTGTATGTCGTCAAAGATTTGTAAGTCTTTTATATTAAAGTGAAGTTGTTTTTAGTTCAATTGTCACTTTTTGTGTTCTTTGGTGTAGTTTCTATTATCCTAGGAAGAGTCTTCTTTTGTTAGCAAAAATTTGGGGCTCCTTGCATCAAATTTGGTATCAGAGCAAGTTCTTATTCCGGTTTGTCGAGTAATTCTTGGTGAGTCATAGCAAGTTGTGTGTGTCTTGGTGTCATGAATGTGAGTGTCATGTGAGTTTTGTTATCAAGTTATTTAAATTTTGTTGAGTCTTATTTTGCTTGCAAAAGTTTGGGGCCCTCTCCCAAATTTTTGCTTGCATCAAATTTGGTATCATAGCAAGTTATGTGTCTTGGTGTCATGAATGTGAGTGTCATGTGAGTCTTGTTGTCAAGTGAGTCTAGGTTTCATTAGGTTGAGTCTTTATTTCTTTGAGTCTAAGTTTCTTTTGAGTTTTTATAAGAAATGGAAAAAGACAAAAAGATTGATTCAGTCAAAAGAAGAAAGCAAGCTAGAAGATTCTGAAGTTCAAAATCCGATAGATAGATGGATGCCGTCAGAAGGGAGTTCAACTAATCCGATTGAAGATGCATATGTGTACGGAAAAGTACGAGAAAAAGAAGCAACTGTTGCAAGCTCAGTTTATGCAAGAACGAGATGAAATCTTAAAAATTATGAAGCAAAAATTCAAGATCTTGATGCCCTTCCACCGTCTCCTCGGAAGAAAGCTAAAGACAACTCATCAGGAGATGAGTTTTTCAAGTAGGGGAGTCTGATGTAGGCAGGGGGGGGGGTCAAATCAAATCCTAAAGTTTGGTTTTAACTTCTCTTGGACTTGCTAGCTTATTAATGTTGAGCTGAAGTTTAGTTCATTAAATGGGAGATTTATTGCACTTCCTAGCTCATTAATCTAAAAAAGGTATGCTCTTAAGTCTTGGATTCATTTTGGAGGGGACTTGCCTCTTCTCCTCCCATTTGTCTATTTGTTTTCTTGTGCTGGTGGTTTCCCTTGCCTTGTCCCTTGGGTTTCCGTGGCTGACTGTTGGTTTCTTGTGCTGGGTGGTTTTCCCGTGCTTTTGCCTCTTTGGTTCCCGTAGCTGCTGCTCGGTTCTGCAGCTGGCTGCTTGGTTCTATGGCTGGCTGCTCGTTCCGTGGCTTTTCTGCTTGGTTCCCGTGGGCTTTCTTCTTTGTTTTGCTGTGCCGTTTGGGGACTGAATTGTTGTGGCTGTTGGTCTTCCATTTGCTGCAGTTTTTGGGCTAACTTTTGGCCTTTCATTTGGTGTCTTTTGGCCTTTTAGTTCCCATAATTTATTGGGTTAATTATTGTGTGAAGTGGCTATTTGGCTACCCTTTTTATGCCTATAAATAGGATGGTTTGTGGCTGTTTTAGAGGATGCTTATGATGTGATTTTTGGAAGCCATAACCTGCGGGTTTGTTGTTTGGAAAAGCTTGTGAGCTTTGTCCAACTTTCCTCCTTCTTTTCCTCTTTGAGAAAGCTTGCGAGCTTGTCTCCATTTCTTCTCGGCTTCTTATCTCTTCTTCTACCCGCAAGTTTACACCCCACTTGTATCATTCTTTTAATGGAATGAAGCATCATTAGGTTTTGTCTTTAATTTGTGTTTGTGTCAAAAGTTGTAAGTGTCTTCTTATTATGATATAAAAGTCTCTTTTTTGGTATTTTGTATCTTTTCTTTAATTTGTGTCATTTCTATTTCCTAGCAAGGATCTTATTTTGCTTACATAAAATTTGGTATCAGAGTAAGGTCTTATCCTTGGTTGGTGTGTTTTTGTTGATTTCTTATCCCGGTTTGTCGAGTAAAGTCTTGGTGAGTCATAGCAGTTGTTGTGTGTGTCATAAGAGTCTAGGTTTCTTTAGGGCGAGTCTTTCTTTCTTTGAGTCTAAGTTTCTTTTTGAGTATTTATAAAAAAATGGAAAATCACAAAAAGACCGATTCAGTCAAAGAAGAAAGCAAGCCAGAAGATCTTGAAGTCCCTCTTCCGATGAACAGATGGGTTCCGACTGAAAGTGATTCAATAGATCCGCTACAAAATGAGTTGTGCAAACTTCAATATCACATGTTCTTATGTGATGAGAAATTCGAGAAAAAGAAGAAATTTCTTCAAGACCAATTCGAGAAAGAAAAAGAAGAAATCCTGAAGAAATTCGAGGTTAAGATTCAAGAGTTAGATGCACTCCCACCGTCTCCTCGAATCAAATCAAAAGACAACTCATCAGGAGATGAGTTTTTCAAGAAGGGGAGTATCTGATGCATGCAGGGGGGGGGTCAAAACAAGATGAGAATTTGTTTTGACCCTTGGGCTTTTGGTGTTCTCGGGTGAGTCTTGGTTGCTTGGTATTGAGCTCAAGATGCTGGAATTTACTTAGTTTTAGCTCATAAATGTTTGAGCTAAAGTTTAGCTCAATGATTGGGGGATTTATTACACTTCCTAGCTTATTAATTCAAAAAGGTTTGATATTAAGTTTTGAATTCATTTTGGAGTGGACTTGCCTCTTCTCCTCCCCTTTGTCTATTTGTTTTCTTGTGCTGGTGGTTTTCCCGTGCCTTGTCCCTTAGGTTCCCGTGGATGACTGTTGGTTTCTTGTGCTGGGTGGTTTTCCTGTGCTTTTGCCTCTTTGGTTCCCGTAGCTGCTGCTCGGTTCTGCAGCTGGCTGCTTGGTTCTGCGGCTGCTCGGTTCCGTGGCTTTTCTGCTTGGTTCCCGTGGGCTTTCTTCTCTGTTTTGCTGTGCCGTTTGGGGACTGAGGTTATGTGGCTGTTGGCCTTTCATTTCCCTAAATATAATAGGTTTATTTACTGCTGTTTGGTGGTTGTTTGGGGGCGGGGGATTTCCATGGGATTTTTCATGTTTTCTGTGCAGTTTTCCTGCAGCTGCTTGCAGTCTTTTGACCTTCTATATTCGTTGAATTTAATGGGTTTAATGGGAGATATTTGGGTTGTTTGGCTGCCCTCTTTGTGCCTATAAGTAGGGGCTGATTTGTATGTTTAGAGGATGGTTAAAAAATGTGATTTTTGGAGTAAGAAAATCTGAGGGTTTTATTAGAAAAGCTTGAGAGCTTTGTTCACTTCTTCTTCTTCTCTATCTTGGGAAAACTTGAGAGTTACTCCTATTCCTCATCTTGGCTTCTAATCCCTTTCTTCTCTATGCAAGTGCCACCTCACCTGTATCATTCTTCTCAACGATTGGCAAGCTCCTTTTGGTTTGTTGTGTTCAAGATTGTAAGGTGTTTGTGTTCAAAAGTTGTAAGTGTCTTTATATGATATAAAAAGCTGTCTGTTTAGTATTTTGTATTTCTTTGTAGTATTTTGTGCATCTTCGAAGTTATATGAAGAGTCATTATTTTGCTTGCAAAAATTTGGGGCCCTCTCCCAAATTTTTGCTTGCATCAGAGGGTGAGAGAGAAAGCTAGGAAGAGAAGAGGAGGTAGGGGGTCACAGGGAAGAAACAAGGATAAAGGTTTAGACCTTAAATGATTTTCACTGAAATGAGAGAACAATGGGCATGAGTGAGGAGAGAGAATTAAGAAGGAAAAGTGTGAATTTGTTTTATTATTCAATTCTAGATAATAGTTACATGATCCTCATATATGTATTTATAGAAAATATGGTTACATGATAGATAGTTTAGATAAAAGTATAATTACCCTAGATAAATACAAACTAATTTAAATATCAAGCAAGATAGGAAAGAAATAAGAAAATGAAAGAACAAGCTTAAAGAAAATATTATTAATAATTATTGATTTCCTTGACAACTGAATGCATAAAAAGGAATTAAAATAGCTAGAATAATTCAAATACAATATTGATCCATGTCTTGTCCCGCCTTAACTCGGTTATTTATCTATCATTTATAATTATCTATCATTTATAATCATAATAAAGATGCCCTAGATGTTATTTTCCTGTTCTATAAAATGACTTTAGATTGTTTGCAGGTATCTTCTCATATTGTTTCGTGATGCTCCTGTTGAAGTGTGGGCTATGACAAAGACTCCTATCATGGTTTGCCCTAATGTTAATATTTCCTTTTTTTATCTGCATCGTTAGCCACGTGTAATTTGTTGCTATTCTTCCTTTTTTTATGTGCATCGTTAGCCATGTGTAATTTGTTATTCAAAAATTAGAATAGATCTTTTTGAGTGAAGCTAGTTGAAATCTCTGCAAAGGAAAAATCATAAAATAATGGCGCCTTTTGACTTTAAGTTCATGTGAAGCTTTATTTTATATGAATGCTGCTGTTGGTTAATGAGAACATGACATAGTCTGTATTTAAAAGTTGGACTGGTTAGTTCAGGTTTGATAATGCTGGCTACTCTAATACAAATTTTATGTCTTTACTTGGTAAGCAGTGATGGCCTTTAGCTGATAAACATGACTGTATTTGGATTTTTATTTAATACTTTAATGGCCTATCATAACATATATGCATAATTTAAAAAAAAAAGCAGTTTTCACCTAAACTAATGTTTTATTGATTAATTATTAAGTACTTCTTTTTTTTTTCAAATATTACTTGCAGGCTGAATCTAGTTCTTGAAAACTTATGTTTAGGCCAATGTTTAAAATTGCATATTTCGAGTATTGAGGCGTTTTCATTCGTGAGGCGAGGCGTAAGCCTCAAGGCGTTTTGAGGCGTAAGCCTCAAAATTAAAAGATTGCGTAAACATAAAATGATAAATTTGTTATATACTAGTGAGTGGATAATATAAAACATAAAAAAGCATAATATATGAAGTGAAATCAAAATATCTCAATAATAAGAAAACATGAAATATAGTTCAACTCAAAATTCTATCTTTCTGAAATCCTAGTATTCTTTTCATTAACATGTAATTCCGATTTCCAAAAATAAATATCAATGACATATCACATAAGAACTCATAAGTCATCAGCACTGTCATCACTAAGGGGTTCTTCATTTGAATCATCATTATGGTGAGCTGCTCTCTCCCCTTCCTCCTCTCCTATAAAGTCCAATGTCGGGCATTTACTTCAAGATTTATGTTAAGTTTTAAATAATATATAGCGTGAGGCGTAAGCCTCATGCCAGTGAGGCAAGGCGGGCTTCAATGCGGGCCTCAACCAAGTTGAGGCGCAAGCCTCATAAAAAACTCGAGACGTAAGCATCGAGGCGTTTTTTACTGGAATTGCGCAAAGGCGGCCCTCAAGGCGAGCCTCATATTGCGCAATTTTTAAACCATGGTTTAGGCCACCTATTTGAGGTTGCACCTTTACCTTTACCTTTACCTTAAAAAACTAAGACAATTTGGGGCTGTATCTTCAAAGACTAGAGAAAGAGGTTCATAAAGTTAATGATGGAAAGAAAGTTATTTTTTTTCTTTTGATTTTATAAGTATTTTTATAAATCAATATGCCAGCGGTAAGAAAAAATTTTCATTAGCTTGTTTTAAAAAAATACATATTTTCTTCTTTTGTCCAATATATGATTAAATAATATTGATTAAGTTGAAGCTATTGATTAAATGATTAAGCTTTTCATTTATCAATTTAATAAGTTTATTCACCATAGCCGGCTTTAAGAAATATTGAACCAAGCCAACAAAACTAGATCCTTATCACAAGTGCTCTACAAGTGGCGGAGCCAGAAATTTTATTCAGGGGGGCCTAAATTAAAATAATTTTGTTTGCTGACTCATTATAGGGGGGATCTCCGTTTGGAGTTTTTCTCAACATTCTTTAAAATATTTTTATTTCAGGTAATTTAAGTGAGTTTCAATTTCAGCTAAAATTTTTTCGAGATTCTTCAAAATAAAGTTTCAAATAAAAGTCGAAGATTTCGCGATATAATATATATATATATATATATATATATAATATTATATATTATATATATATATATATAATATATATATATATAGGGAGAGAGTTTTAATTAAAAAAAAGGAAATGCATTAATTGTATAGCATAAATTTGAATAAAAATATAGCTTAATGATATCAGAAATCAACGATCTTTATCTCGTTGGATTCGTCTTGTCGAGCCGCTCAATTCGACTATAAGCAATTAAATTTTGGAAACTGTTTGATCATCCAAATTATGTTTTAAATCTTCCAAATATGCTTCGGATCCTTGATTTGGCCTCATTTGGGCTCGGATTGAGTCAAATTTGGTGTTGTTGGGTTCATATTTTCGAGATGTTCAGTTCGACTATAAGTTTGATGAAATCAGAGTTCAAATGGTCTCCGATTTAATTTTTGAAGTTTCTAACATAATTTTTTTCTCGAGATTAGTGCCCGATCAAGATAATTTTTTGATTAAAAAAAATAAATTAATCCATTTACTTCTTTCTCTAAATCGAGGTTGTATATAAAGAGAAAATAATCCATTTCTCACATATAAAAATGTGCATGTTAACCTTTGCTCTTCCTTATTCTTGAATTTTTTATTTTTTTTTAGAGGGGGGCACGTGCCCCCCTTGGCCCCCCCTTCCCTCCGCCATTGGCTCTACATGCATAATGTAATAGCTTGTTAACTTAAAATGAGAAAAGGATCAGGAGTGTTCCCCGACCATTTGTAGGGATTCAATTTAGTCCCAGACCATATAAAATTTATGGTTTTGTCCTGGACTCCTTAAATAGAAGTTAAAATTATCCTGCAATGAAAAGTGATGGAAATTAAAATTAAAGTTAATGGATGGGGTTACAAATGAGCTTATTTTAGGAATATACAATTTCTTCTTAAATTTTTTTTTTTTATAAAATCTAATATTCTTGTTGCATTCTTTCCTTATGTATATTAGTTGACTTCACCAATAGAAATCAATTGAGATTGTATAGATTATGGAGCAAGCTGATTTTTTGTAATAAAAAAAGTTGTTTGATATTTTTTTTATCTTGTGTCACACCCCAAAACGACCCATTTAGGTTTGCACGAGGTGAACAGGGAAACACCTTATTAGCTCTTTACATAATGTAAGTTCTACTAAATCAAAATTTAATATGATGATTATAAAGTAGAACTTAAGTTCTACTTTATAATATTATTTAGGATGGAAGCAATTTCAATAATATTCTAATCATCCATTTATCTACGGAGTTGCTAAAACAATTTGATATTCTATGTAAATCATAAAAAAATTATATATATATATGATGTAGAACTAAATGAAATGAGTCATGCAATTAGAGATTTAGGCTAAGATAACATCATAGACAGTAAAATATACTTCATAAAACATTAAGAACAATGAGAAAATTTAAACTATTAGATCATGTGATAGCAAAAAACTAATAAGTAAAGGCTAAACATTAAAAATAGGTGAATCAATTTAGACTAGCTAATATGGGTTGGCACAAGTCCAACATTTAATTAAAAGACTACTCACTAGTGTTTCTGATCACTCAAATTTAAGTAGGGCTTGACGGATTAATCAACACATATGTGATGATGTTACTATGGATGAAATGAGAAGATCAATACTTAGTTAGAAGAAGGACAAGAGAAGAGTTTGATACTTAGCTCATGAATGGGAGGAATGAAGTCCTTGATGAAATGATGGCTAGTTATTCCTTAGATTCCCCTTGATACCCTTACTCTTTGATAAATCGATGTCCTCGTTGCAAAAATAGATGCTAGGTTTCCTTGGAAAGGTAGAATAGTGAGGGAGAAAAAAGTTTCAGCTATAGGAGGATTTGGAAGTGGAGAAGTCAGCTGGGGAGGTGAAAATGTAGAGTTGGTTGCTTGGGAAAGATAGAGGGCTGATGTGGTTTGATTGGGAAGGGAATTATTTGGCTTGGGAAAAGGAAAAATTGAAGTGGTTGCTTTGGGAAGAGAGAGAATTTGATGTAGTTTGCTTGGGAAGGGAAGTATTTGGCTTGGGAAAAGGAAAAGTTAAAGTGATTGCTTTGGAAAGATAGAGAATTAAATGTAGTTTGCTTGGAAAGGAAACTATTTGGCTTGAGAAAAAGAACAGTTAAAGTGATTGCTTTGGGAAGAGAGAAAAGTTAAAGTTGTTGTGGGTTCCCAAAGGTCACAATTAATTGAGACAAATGCTCAATTAATGTGAATTAATTACAAGATTGTGAAGCCCAAGGGTCTAAGGTGTTGGAGAGAAGATGGAGGCAGGTAGAATGGAAGGAAGAGAGGAGGTGGTGAGTTGAGGGCAGTAGGTTGCTGCAACGGTGGGGATTAGTGGACAACTAGGGAAGGAGAAGAAGAGAGATAGGGAGATGATATCAACCAAGAGCTCACAAGCTGTTGGGTATTTCTTTGCCTTTCTCCAAAGGACTTCACACACAAACGTAACTCACCAAGAGAAGAGGAAACATATAACTAAAGATTTTATTTCAAATATTCTTCATCCTTACAAGAAAACAATAGGCCATATATATAGGCACAAAAAACATGAAAGAAACAAAAGACTAGAAGACCCTTGGCCAAACAACACAAAAGCTCCCTCAAGTGAGGGTAAAACTGTAATAAAATAAATAACATCACATAAGTCTCCTACAACACATGAAAACTAAAAAATATAAAGATTCAATCAAGGCTGTATATCTTCGACCTCTACAGTGATAAACCCTCCAAGCTCTGATGTCCCCATCAATATACCTGTCAAAATTGTAGCTTATTACAAAACTATACATAAAAAAATATCAAAACTGGAGCCTTATGTGGGTTCTTCCTTATTTTTTTCTCTTACTTGAAATAGTATATAATATAATAGAATATGAATAAAAAGAAACTAAGTAAGATAAACAATTTAAAGATAAAAAAAACATTATTGTAAGATTTCACTCATACTAATATATTAAATTACTCATCTAATATGGTACTTGTTGCCTTCTTATATTAAAATATCTGAATTAGCATTTGATGTACTGGATAAGAAAAATATATAATTTGGAACAAACTTTTGATAAACATTTAAGTTTTAGGCATTAATCATACATCATAATTAATCAGCTATTTATAAACTTATTTTGTTGATTACATATATCATATATAGTTCTTTCATCTTTAGAATATATCACATGTGTGGATGTAATTTATTTCGCTACAGTAACCCGAAGGCCACGTGCCAAGGACTCTTTGGCCTTCTTACGAACTCGCCTTTATTGCCCTACCGATACAGGTCGACATAAACATCTTAAGTGAGGACCTTTTGGCTTTCCAATGGGCTTGCGTTTGTCACCTTGCATGTTTTATTGTAAATGATCTTTCTAAAACTTATTTCATTAAATTTCATTATTCAAGCATCTAGATGTATACGGTTCATTTTAATCATATAATTTTACATGTATCCACTTTTGAAATGAAACAAAAATAAACTTTATGTTGAAAATTTCATTGAAGGTGGATAATGAAATTAAAATGTTGTATCTTACCTAAGTGAGAGTTTCAATTCTAACCCGAATAAATTGTCTTATTATTGACACCCTAACACTTCCTTCGTGTGTAGATTATCTAAATAATAGATTTTTGGTGTTAAAATTTCTAACGTAATTAAATTTTGCCGTCGATCTCCCGGCATCTCCTGAAGGTACATGTTCCGAAATCGCTTGCTGATGGTTCCCATCATGATTATTTTGTGATAA